CTATAAAAAAAATTCGTTTGACTCAATTACTAAATTCTTGATTTTTAATTGCGTCTGACTCAATTCAATAATTTCTGTCACATGTATAGTTTTAATTATAATTATTAAGTATTATTTAATTAATACAAGTAAATATATTAATAATTAATTAATAAAAAATAAGTTGAATTTGATTTTTTATTATGTAATAGGATTAAATAACTTATAAGATATAGTAATATATAATATTTAAAAATAAAAAACAAAATATATTATATAAATAATTTAGTATATTTGTATAAAAACTTTAAAAAACAATTTAGAAAAATGATATTGTTTTTTTTTTTTAGAGGCAAAGTGCATTACATGCGAACTTTATTAATTTAGCATTGAAGTTACAATCATTACATAAAGAGTCTGACTAACTATATTAGCTATTTTAACTCTAGCACCACCTCTAATTCTAACCTGGTTACCAACTAACACCTCGGAGGTGGGTTCGCAATTCAGGTGTGATCTATTTGAAGGGTATTTTATTACTTGCCACTGTCATTAGGGTTCATATCACATCTCACCTTACCATTACCTGACCCCAGCTGCAGCTTGGACCAATTGATATAGATATATACTTCCTAGCGAATGCTTCAGTTTGCTATCAGTTGGACACTACCAAATCTAGAGGCCATATGGTCAAATGGGGCATGATTTCTTAAGGAATAACCCTTAATCTCCTAGTAGATAGAAAAATAATATTAAAAAAAATAATTATAATAATAATATAAAGAAAAAAAAACATTAAAAATAACTATAAAAATATGACCTGTGGGTCTATAGCACAGTAATTAGTGTTCCACAAGTCAGATCACAAGATAATGGTTCAAATCCTTCATAGGACTAATGTGGAAACCTCAAACTAGAAGAAATGGATTAGCATCTTCTGATTGCCATCACAAGATATCAAGTTCAGTTCCAGGTAAAGGTAACCAGACTGTCTCAAAATGATATCTGATGCTATAACCTAACATGTGCTGTTTCCTATAAGAAGCTAATTCACACGTTGATTCAACAGGCATTAGAATTGTGATACCAAGAAAGACGTAGTGATGTAACGATTGTCCGGTAGTATTACGATGATTGTTGTCAAGTTTGATGATTTCTTCTGTTTCTTATATATGAAATATGCTTTCTTTTTCTTTAGTTCACAAGATTATAAAAGAAACAACCCAGTTTTCATGTGACTGTAGTTAGAGCCACAAAGACTCCTTGTTAAATATGGCTTAGTCCACAGCTGATCATATTAGGATACGGTTCTTTGAGTTTCCATTCATTAGATGGTGAGTGGGACTAGAAGACGTACATCCTGACACATTAGCACTCTACCTATATGATCAGGATTCTGGTTTTGGTAATATAGGAAGAATGGAGGGCAATAAGTTAACCGGTAGATAAGGGTAATCTGAATCTTAGGTAGTTTTATTTGGGAATTAGCAGTGGTAAATTTGTAAATACAAATTTGTATATGTTGTGTTTAAAATAACCTAATAAAACAAGATGTATGCCAGTTGTTGAAAAAAAATAACTATGAAAATAACTGTTGCAAATCTTTTTTCATATAATTAAAAAATAAGAAAAAATTTTAAACTTTTTTATTACTTAAATAAAGATTTTATCCTAACACGACAGTAAGTTTTGAATTTTTTATATTTTTAAGCTTATAATATATTCTTAAAAAATAAAGAAAAAGAAATATTTTAATAAAAATATAATAGCTAAATTTATTTAAATTTAAAAAAATTACAACAATTAATAAATAAAATAAATTAGAAATATTATACAATTTAATTTGTTAATAATTTTTTCCTGCTGATTCTTTTGCCAATCCAAAAAACAGATGTTCTTAAGAAAATTTATTTTTTTTGATAATATAATCTATATACTTTCCTTAAAAATATTACTTCCAAGGCAAAACAAATCTCTCCACTTTAATATACTTTCCTTTTTAAACAATCTTTTGATATTTCAATAACAAAATACAATAAATTACCTATGAAGTCTATAACAAGAAAACTTTGTCAAGAAGAAAAGACTTTTGAAAAACACTTTCTACTATTTTTACCAAAGCCTGAAAAGTCTCTAGAACGGCTAGGCATCTTGCTTTTGGACTTATTTTTATCTCTTTGCAACTTGGAACTAGTTTACTTCTCATATGTTAACTTCTTCTTGGTTTTTCTGGGATTTTGCCTATCTCAGTTTGATCCTGAATTTTTAGTTACACTAGAAATCCTTCAAGATAATTAAACAAAATTTTGGAATTGATTGATTAACAAGTAAAAGAAATATAAACAAGACATATACATCACCACATGTTCCCTGTTGTGCTATACAAATCTGATGATGCAATTGGTCAACTGGAAGAGTTGACTGTTGGATAGACGAAGAAGAGATTAAAAGTAATAATTTCTTTTTTCAAAAAATTGCAGCAAGATAAGCAAGCTTTTTTTTGGAGGTTTATTATTTTTTTTTTCAGTTTGACTCATATACTGGCAAAAAAGATAGACAAGATTTCCAGAAATGAATCAATACCTTTAAAGATAATCAAGAAGATATATTCAAGATATGAAACCTCTTGTACGAATCTCCTGAAGATATAGGCTGGTTGTTGAACTTGCAAATGTATTTTTCAAGATCTATAAGAATTTTGGATTCATCATAAATCCTAGATAAATCCAGTAGGTGAGTGAATAAGCAAAAAAAGATAATCTAGAGAGATTGTTAAATAAAAAAAACTCTTAAAAACCAGAAAATCTTGATATACTTGAAGGTAACAGTAATCACTTAATGAACTAACTACCTTGTAACCTAAGGCCAAAAGGGAATGGATTAGGTGTGGTCAATATGGTTGGTTCTATTTTCAAGACATCCAAGTCATATATGAATAGATAAATCTCTGATTATTCATGAAGGCCTATTGAACTCAGCTTGAAGAATATTTAGATCAGAAGAAATTGGCTAGAGAAAATATAGGTAATTGATACCATAGAGTCTATTAGATTATAGTTAAAGATTGTATATTTTATAGTTTGAATAGATAGTTTGGTTTTAATATGTTTCTTTTGGTCACTTTGGAGATTGGTTGCTGTATTTTTTCAGATTCTGTTAAGAAAACTTATTTTATTTATTTTTTTTTTGTGTAGGTAGTATATAGTACTGTTAGACATATGAGGTCTTAACTCCAGTCTATTAGTTGTTAATAAATTATCTCCCAGATCACACTTAGAGACTTTTAGTTGTAAATAAGTAAATCAGATTTCATGTTTATGCATATAGAAAAGTCTTTTTTTATATACTCCAGAATTAATAAACAATAAATGGCAATATAATTTTGGGAAAAAAAAAAATACAATTTGGTTTGTTTCATTATAATAGAAATTATATAATTTTAAACTTCAAAAATTTTAATACAACAGTATTAAAAATTCCAACAAAGATAATTTTTAATAAGTATGACTTTGCAATATTTATCTAAAACTAAATTTTGAAGTTTTAAAAAATCATTATTGCAAAACTTAATTATTTATCATATTGCTAACAGAACAAAAACCACAAAATAATATTACGTACAGTATATAGAATTTCATTTAATTATCTTTTGAGAATTATGTAGTTCTCTTAAGAATAATATTCACGTGTAACATACCCTGGCTAATATAACAAATTTATTTTACTATGTTGATAAAGATTATGAGATATATTTTACTTAACATTTAGAAGAAAAAAAATCATTTACATATAGGGTTTTTGGTTTCTATTTCAAGATTGAATAAAAACACACTAAATACAGAAAAAAATCAAAAACTCATGAAATTAGTTAGTAATGATATTATTTCGCAAAATACAATTTTTATAAAACCTCGAAAAAAGTCAGAGCATTTTTTAAATCATGCAATTATTTTTATACAAATTTTAAAGAAAGAAAAATATTAGTTGTTTTATGATAAGCTATTTTAAAACTTTTTTTTTTTTTCATAAAATAATCGATCTTTTTAAAAGAAATGACAAAATACTGTTACAATTATCTTTAAGAACTGGTGATGATTTTTTTTCAAATATTAAATCGCTGATTTTAAAATTACTTTAATTTCGAATCAATAATTAAATTGCAGATAAAGAACAAAGGCATAAACCGCAATTCATCCAATGAATCGTATACCAGAATTGGAATTTAAACTTATTTTTTAAAAAAATCAAACTGTACATAATCTTGTACGTGATTTAAAAATTATTCCATATATTGTATAGATTTTAATACCCATAACGACGTAACAATGACCATATAAAAAATGGTGGAAAAATATCTTTAAAACAAATCCAATTATTTCTCGTGATCGTAACAGTTAATGTTCCTAAGACGTTCTTCTAATATAGACATCAGAGTGCATCTAGTGATAATTTTCTCCAGATCTCCCGATTCCCTGATCAATACTTCCAACGGTAATTCCAATCCTAATTTATCAAAGATTGTCCCAAAGACATATTCAATAACTTCATTCTCGAATTCTTCATCCAACATTAATCCATGATATATTTTGTAAAGACCTTCCAAGAACGGAGCAAACACCAATGCAGGAGGTTTAGATAAGTTTTTTACGGGTGGTAACCAAGTAAATTGCATGGACGCGCAAAAAGCACATAAAAATACAGTTGCTAAACTTAGTAAATTATCGTTAGATGTTTTAGATGAAGTTGAATGCGGAATGGTAGTAAATAGACGAGAGAACGCAGTTAACCAGATGTCAAGGAATAATCGATTGATGTCTTTGTGGTTTATCAACTGATCGAAAGAAAGAAATAAGATTCGAGATGCGCACATTGTTACAATGTACCAATGCAATAATAATGAATGATACCTTGGTAGATGTGGTTACTTTTGAAAGATAGACACAGAATTGGTGAATGAATACCAATGAAAGCAGTATTCGCGTCATAAACCTAATTAAATTAAAACGAACAATTTACTACATGTCACATTTAGCTGATGAAATTGTCTTATATGTGCTTTCCTTAAAGGAACATTGGTGACCAATTCTGCAACTTCAACCAATTTCAATATAATTTCTTCATTTTCCAAGGCTGAAAATTTTTCGAATGACAGTCTCATGTCCGATGTGCACGTGTCCAAAGTATTCATCCAAAATTCATTGTCATATTCAAAATCCTATAAAATTTGGTTTTAATTATAATGATGAACATCATTCTATTTGATAATAAGATGGGGCACCTGTTTGATCTTAAGACATTGCTCTAATTCTAATTTTGACACTTCGAGGTGATCAAGATGGATATCAACGATTTGATCATGCATCAGTTGCGCCAAGTAAGTGTCCATTGTCATCTTGATCATAAGCAGAAGAATGATGATTAAAATTTACGAAAGGACAAACAGAGTTGCAATGAATGATGAAATACCGAGTCGATCTCTTTTCGTGTGATCAACCGAGAAATCCTCATTTGATTTGTTAACGGTTCAATTTGGTCGGGATGCTCAAAGCGGTAAATTTTGAACCTGTTTTGCCCAAATAAAATTCTGTTCACCCATTGAAGTGATAGGAGAATGATGTCGGTATTGTACCTACAACACACGTAATGATTGAAACTTTACGAAATCCTCCGGTTCAAGCAACTATGTTATTAATATAATGTTAGCCGAGGACAACCGATGTTCGAGTTTATTAGTGTGGATGTTACCTTTCCCACCTCGCTTTGAAGATATCTGTGTTCGGAGGGATGGTGAATGGAATATTCAAGAATATTCCAGAAGCCGTAAAACCTTCAAGAATGAAACGCAGTTGATTACGAAATTTGCGAAAATTGCACATAATAAAATGAATAATATCTCGTACTTTAGATTCGCAATAACTTCTTCATCTGTGAGACTAATCTTCACCTTAATGTTGGTAACCTTGGAGAATCCTTCGATAAAACGAGAAAGTTCAAGGTCATCATACATCAATGTTCGCGACAACTGTTTGGAGGAAATTAGTCAATAACTGCTATTCCACCAAGATGTATCTACTTTTTGTTGCTCATCACAAAACCATCTACCTTGCCGAATTGTTCGGAAAGAAAAGATGAAATGTTTTCGGATGTGAAAGCCTGTGAGGAAACGGTTTCTTGATCAACCTCTTGTAACAACCATGTGGCCTCATCACGTATAAACGACAAAATCCAATGTATGGTATGCCCGGGTACTCTGCCTGGATTAAGGACTTGAACGATCAGCATAGTAATGCAGGGTCTAAAAGGGTCTAAATATATCGAATTGCTGTGTCAACTTGTCTGACATTCGTTTCATCGCGAAAGTATAAGGTATCTTTCTCACAGATATGTGGTTCCGACGTAAAAGTGTTAAAGAATCTTAATATCGAAGTATATGATTTAGGGTTGATGGAATTTCGAAGTCGTTTGATCAACAGGTGCGTCAGAAAAATGCCATTGAACTAATAATAATAATATATCATTAAGTATTTTTACTCTTTTGTGCGTGAGAAAATGGTTGGATATTACCGTGAGTTCACTACTGGGCGCAATAAGGTCGGAACAAATGTAAGCAAAAAGGACGTCATAGTAAGAATTGAAAGGCCCACTTCGTTTCCGGAATGAAAAAAAAGGTTAGGGGGTTCGGAAGTCAGTTTCAATATAATTTCATAACCGACAAACCTCGGAAGGTTAGAAGTTGTGACATTTGATGATTTTGTCAAAGGTTTTAAATATAAATGGAAGTATGAATAATGTCGCGGAAAAGTGGCATTAGCTTCGATACGGTCGAGCAGCAAATCGACAAAATTTTCCGGATCCATTATTTTTCCCAACAAAGAAATGATCTGTAGACATGTTTTTTGTGATAACCGTTGAGGTCCCCCTTTCTAAAAATAGGTTAGTCAACTAAGCATTGTAAATCCAAATGTGGAAATTTTATTAGGCCTTACGTGTCTGCATCTGAACGGTAACTCTGCCTTTCTCCATTAACGAAATGGTCGGTTGTCATTCCTTCAAATTTATAGTTTCGCGCAAGTCAAAATAAGGAAGCGCGATTTGCTTTCGTCCAACCTTCTATTTGACCTTTTTTTTTGACTTTTGCGTTATTTAGCCAGGAACAAACCCAATCATTCGAAAGAAGAATATGAAATACGCTTCAAATGTTCATAGTCGTGGTCATACCAAGTCATCGGTATTTATACGAGTGTTCGGAATGGTTATTTAAAGTAATCGCGCTTATCACTAGATTCCTTTGCTAATTACATACATATTTTTGTGAATAATAGCGAAAAGAAATCGATCAAATACCTCTCGGTTATTTGGCGATGGGGATCATTCTTTTCGTGGTCTTTGGATCAACCATTTTCGAAATTTTTCGATTGGTTTAATCTCGATGTTCGACACTCGAACACGCGCGTTCCGCATTCTCAATTGCCATGCGTCGATTTTATTATATAATATTTTTACCCCATGTATATAGAGAAAATGATCAAAATGACCTTATTTTCATTTCAAGCCCTTTTTCTTGTAAATTTTTTTTTTCCTTTAATGAATATATCAAGAATTTCAAAATGTAAATGTAATAACACCGTGATCCGAGATGTTTTAACCTCTGCGGAAATATTGTAATTTTTAAAAATAGATAGTGGTATTTCTGCAATAAACAATGACATCTCCTATCCTTCTTGGGTCATCATTAAAATGAGAATTGAAAAATCTCGCGCACTAGTGATATTTTAGAAACTTTAATGTCTTGGTTGGAATCGCTTCACAAAGCGCAAATTATCAACTTACTTGCGTATAATCTGAAGCCGACAATGTCGATCCGATATCGTCCATTAATGCCTCAAAGACTACCAAATGACTTGGCCACTTCCGCAATGTGCTATTAGGATGAACGGAAGACGATAGGGTGACGGAAGGTTCAAAGTGATTAGTTAGAAATTCCAAAGGATTCGCGTAAAATTGATCTGCTTCGTCCATATATTTATTTACGTCCTGTAATCTATTATTGATAATTTCGACAGGCAGAATAATAGTTATATTGCATGGAAATTCGAAAATTACAGTTTGGATGAAAAAAGTTTGTTCACTCACCCTAACGGAGGTTCACAAGTTAGAAACCACATGTCGATTCTCCTATGTAGATTACTATAAAACGGCGTGGAATGGCAAGGCATCAAGAATCCAATATCTTTCACACCACCATTGTCCACCTCCTTCCTCAGGTAATTCATCACCTCTATCACACCACTCTGATGTACAATGCTCGCATAATAGGCCATAGGTATATTGGTTAATAAAAAAAATGACACGGAAAGTTTCAAATACTTTCGTGAACGCGTTCTTGCTTCATCCGAGCCCGATTTCACGTTATCATGAATCTTCTGAAACCCATAACCCGCGATCAAGATAAATATTGGTAGCAAAGGGTACATGAATCTAAATTCTTTGTGTCCTAATAAGCTATATACCGCCACCACCCAACCGATCAGTTGCAATAAAGATTTGACATGTTGCCAGTCGTGCGGTTTTTTCATTGACGATTGTATGCCGAAGATGATAAATGAGATTAAGGAGGTTAGGATCACCGGCAATCCTTGAGTGAGATACCAATGCCAAGGATGCACTCCATAGAATAGAGAGATGGATTGGACTAAATTAACGTACAGGAAATTAAATGGAACGAACACTAGCGAACCATAAAATTGATAGTCCAAAAAGATCATTAAAAAGGTCGCTGAGATGCTGATGCACGAAATGAGAAATTTCATAACTTAACGATTTTCGTAAATGATGGAAGTGATAATACAAATTGTGAAGCAAATACTGACGATATAATAATAAAGTTCACCATGATTGATAGGATGTGATTACGTGTTTCCAGAAGCAATTGGACATAAAGAAAGCTCCATATTATCACGTTGGTTGGACGCAAGATGCACGAGGCTGCGAATAGGCATAACGAAAGACGCAGGTCTCTACAATATGGAAACATTTTTAGCACTTGTCAGACAGGTAAACAATGATAGCTTGTTGAAATTTGGGCATACTTCTTTCGATTCTCCCAGTTCTTTAAAGTCGCCAATGAAGGCCAAGGCCAATAATGTAAGGCAGCGACGGTTAATACCATTTCAACACCATTTGATAGCATGCGAATTGAACAAAAAAAATTAAACCATGAGACGACCGAGCAAAACAGCTGAGGAAGGAGTAGAAAGAAAGAGAAACAATAATTCATCAAGGACTTCACATTCATATGACCGGTTGACAAGGTACATCATCATAAAAAGGATACGGTCCACTTTGCAGTTGAGTCGCCAAAAAACTTTTGAGCCAAACGATACGTGTAAAAATCACCGATGGCTGCAATTATCGCTTGCAATATTCTAGGAGAATAAATCTTAAAAAAGAAGGAACGTTAAAGGTTGACAGATGAGACGAGACCAAACACGAAAAATCTTGGGCTGATGTATTTACAAAAAGATCGGTACTGTCAACTCCAATGACTTCCAGACATTTATACAGCACCGCAAAAATCATCGGATGAGCGGCGCCTCTAATCTGCTGTTTCCATTCCCAAGTCAAGTATCCGTAGGTTCAGAACACAAAATTGTCAAGGAATTAATATGAAAAATGATTGTCGATTGTCGTGTGTAGGGTGGCAATGAGCAAAGAAATAGAGGCAACCACTACGCTGATAATGTTGGATATCCAAAGACCATGTAATGCGCAACCTCGACTGATTGCCAGTACTCGTCGGGATTAAAGTAAGTTCTGGTCACGAGAGCATCAAGTATTCGAAAAGTCATTAGAAAACATAGTATTAACGAGTTTGGATATCGACCTTTGTCATCATCACTGGTGCTGAGATTAACAAATTCCTCTGCAACGTGATGTGAGCGATCAACATTTTTGGATATTCCCGAACTCGGCGTAGAATTTTCTTTGTGCCTTTCTCGAAGTGTGGAAGAGGACATTATATAAGATCCGCCAATAATGAATTCCTCACTTGGTGCTAAATCGGATCGGGCGTTCCCTATTTGGGTATTGTCATCATGTCACGTGCCTGATTTTTTTTTATTCAGACCGCCATCATGTACATTGTTCATTATGGGCATCTAAAAATCATGAAACTTGTTTGAAATATGACCAAAATTGATTTTAAGGACCTAAAAGGGTCGTCAACATTTACGGGAGTAGATTATTGCTTTGTTTGCACCTCTTTAATAATTTTGTTTAAGGAAATTGCCGGAGATTTCATGGTGCATACATAAATTTTTCTAACCATGTATATGCTATCAGGTAGATTATTATATTTGTATGGTAAAATATTCATTTAGCAGAACGAAAAACGCGAGTTAATTATACGAATTTTCTATAACGCGTTTCGGATACAGGAATCTCTGCAAGATAATGAGTTCCCTTTTTTTTCCTCTTAACATCACTATTCATGTCCGAGCCAAGATTAATGAAATGAATTCTCCGTTGATCCAATCACCTTCGAATGTTACCAATATGCATCTCATATAAAATGACCTTTTTTGGTTCTACAAGAGGGCACATACGGGTCCGTTCATTCATAGTAATTTTCTTACATTTCACCTTCACTCCTTC